AGGGGAGAGGAGTGAATGGGGATTGACTGCTAATGGCAATGGGGTTTTATGTTGGGGGAAGATTTTGGAATTAGCAGAGGTGATGATGGAATATTATGACTATACAAAATGCCACTAAACAGTTCAAATGGCTAGCTTTATGTTCTGTGAACTTCACCTCAATTTAAAAAGCAAAAAGTAGCTGCCTCGTAGAGAGGGGATGCACTGGGCCTGGTACTTGGGAAAGCCCCCAGGAGGCATCAGAGCAGATCCAGGCTAAAGGAAATGGGGGGATGAGCAGAGGCCCTGAAATGGGATGTGCTTCGCCCTAGTGAGGGCTGGATAGAAAGCCAGCATAGATGGCATCCAGGGCTGTGTTACATGCAGATCACTGGGTGGGCAGAGGAGCTAGCAACTAATCCTCCCGGAAAGAGGGGAAGCGGATGACATGGAATATGGGCACTGAGAGGGGCTGGGGAAGGATGCATTGGAAGGATGTTTTTGTTTTTGCAGTGGTAAGGATGCAACTGAGCGCCTCATGCTTTACCACTGAATTACATCCCCAGCCCAGCACGGGAGGCGTGTAAGCAGGTTAGCAAGCAGCGAGAGCCCAAGTTAATAGGGTAAGGGGTGGGTCACTAAGGCTCCCACAGTGAGGGCTGGCAGATGTCACCTGGCAGGCACTTCACTCTGGGAGCCTTGGGCTGTGATCTGTCAGCTCTCCCCACACACCTGACCCACCAGGTGAGCACCTGCAAGGAGCCACTGCTCTGGGAGACACAGCCTGGGAAGAGCCACTTAGAAGGCTGCCTGGAGTTTCAGGGGAAACAGCCTTGTGGGCTGGTTTTGAACAACCTGCCCACCATGGCAGATTCTGGAAAGCAGCTTTGGCCATGGGCGGAGGGCAATAACCACAGGAGCACAGGCCGGAGTCTAGATGGCAGTGTCTTACTCACCCCCACAGGCTGGCCACACTGAGCCCTCCCCGACAGACAGGCGCACACACAACCTGCTCCCCCATGGAGCCGAACACATGGGGACAAGAGCCATAAACATAAAACCAGCTAATAAATAGAATTTGTGATTTCTTACTAAGCCAAATGGCAGAAGAAAAACACACTAGAGTGGCTAGTCACTATTAGTTCTGATTTATGCTCTCCTTTAATATCTCCTCCAAGGAAATGAAAGGTGTGTTTTCATCAAATATAATCATTTATAGCTTCTAAAGGAGAGATAAACTACTGTCTGACAATTACCTGGACTAGCAGATAAAACTGGAAGATGTGTCCTAATAAAGCAAACTGCTAGCAACCATCCTGAGGCATGAGGGCAGAGCTGTTTTTCTTCCTTGTGAATTATTCCCCAGGCAAAAGCAAGAATCCATAGAGTCTGGGCTCTATGGGTAACAGTGTGGTCTGTGGCCAGGGACATCATTCCAGAAGGTAGGAAAGGGTCGTGCCCAGTGCCCTCAGGCCTCTGTTGGCAGTTGTGGGTGTGGCAGCATCAAGGCCCACCTGGCCAGGTTCTTCTGGCCACTGACCACTACCTTGCCTCCCCTTTAGCCCCACCCTGCTGTTTCAGCTTACTCAAGGTGAGGGTGGTGAAATTCAGTAGATGTGCCACCAACTCAAACTATTTCCTGGTGCCCCTGCCCCAGACAAACAGCTCAATCACTTTGGTGACAGAAATCAAACAGAGGAATGTACTTAAGATCTTCTGGGGTCTCAGTGCTCTTGTGCTATCTTGTCAGAGTCACAGACTAAACCACCAAATGTCTACGGTCCCAGAGGGAACTTCCTTATCTTTCTGGTATTTGAACAAAGGATAAGGCCTTGGCAGGGAGCAAATGCAGGCTTATTATTCATTCAACAAACACTGAAGGAAGCCACAGTGCTAGGAGCTAAGAGACAGCAGTGAACCAGACAGACTATGGTCCCATACAGGTGACTTTCTGAATGGGGAAGGTCAGGGCCAGGTACACAGATATGTCACCTGGGTAATGTGGTGCCATGGAGAAAATAAAATAGGCTAATATGAAACATAACTTTGGCTGGGGGTGTCATAAGAAAAGGCCTCTTGGATGAGGAAGCACAGAGGTTGGGCTTGAGCAATGAGTGGGGTCTAGACAAGAGCATCCGATGCAAAGGCCCTGGGCCAGGAAAGGCTCAGTGATCTAGGGTAGTGGTTCTAACACTGTGCTTTGGGAATCCTTGTTTTCCTAAAAATAGTAAGACATCATTTTCCTATAATATTCATTTCCCCAAGGGCGCACTGAATTTTCCAGAGGCCACATAATGTATGCTGTCACAACAGAGTGAAAGCAGAGGTAGAGGAGAATCTGCTGCATTCTACTAAGTAAGACATTAAAGAGATCTGCAAAAATGTAAAATCATCATTTTTGTTTTGGAAAACAGTTATTATTCATAGAAAACCATGCTATTTATGTCTATATACAATAGCTTTATTATAGAATTACTAAAAGGATTTCCTAGCTTTAATTTCTAGTGTCATGAATATCGGCAATTATAGTCCACATAACAAAGCCTCGCTGGGTCCCTCAGTAATGTCCTTCAGAGTGGGAAGGGAGGGGCCCCGAGCCCAGGATCGTGAGGAGTGCTGATATCGAGGAGCAGGGCAGCTGGCCAGGGCAGGGATGGGTGAATGTAGGGGAGCTCGGAGAGGCTGGCTGGGGCCACATTTTACAGTGATCACACAAGACCAGAGCAGGAGATGTGAATTTTGATCTAAGTCACTGGGAAGCCACTGGAAGTCTGGAGGGAAGGTTACGACACAATCTGATTTACGGCTTGGAAAGATCCAGTTGGCTGAATGGAAGGGAGAGGACCAGACTGAGAATTCAAGATGGCTCCAGATGCAGAATGGCCACTGCTGTGGGCCCTGCTGTGAGTCACTGTCCTCCTCCCCAAACAGTGCTCACCTCAACTTACACTGGCATTTCCATGTGCTCTTCAAGCCACTGCTCTAATGTCAACCCACAGCAGGAGGGCACATAAATGAGAATATCCCCACCCTACTCCCCATACCTCAATGGCACTTCCACTGAGAGTCCAGAAGCCCAGCCAAGGGTTTTGGCAGCTACCTTAGCAACTCTGTGTGACTTGCTGTGGCCCCAACTGGCCCCGCCTCATATTCCCAGTCCTAGGGCCAGCAACAGGATGCTGGAGATCCCAGTTGTGCCAGGCACCTGGCCTGAAGATCTCACACTTCCCCTGGAAGCCCAGGCAGGTGGAAGAGGTAAGTAATAGGTCCTCATCATTGCAATGCATTCTGTCCCCAGAGAAATGATCATGTAAACACTGAAGAATGTGATACTTGGCTCAATTTGTTTATGTACACTCCATCTTGTTCCAAAAAGGATTAGAGTGGAAATAAGGCCTGGGGTTTCTCCTTCACCATTTAATTCTGCAACTGAAAGAGGCTCAAGACCCAAAAAGAATTTCTTACCAGGGCTATCTGTGTTTAGTTAACCTGAACTCACAGTCATAGTTTATATTTACTGAGCAAGCATCAGCATAGAACACAAAGCAACCTGGAGAACTTATGAGCAACAAGCCTTCTTGTACTGGACCTGGACATCACCTCACATTCCCTGGCTGGAAACAGAGGTGGGGCTGCCATCAATTGCATGGCCTGGGATTGGTCTTTTCAGAGGGACAACACTGAGAGGCTGCAGGTGGCACAGTAAATGGGGGCATTTTCCCCAAAAGTTCATGTTGGGACTATATCTATCAAGATTGAAAACCTTCCACTTTGACTTGGCAGATCCCCTGCTGGGAATTTATCCCACAGACATGCAAGATTAGCACAATTATACAAAGACACCTAAAGGATGCTGATTGTGACACCATCAGAGCAAAACACTAGAGTTGACCTGAATGTTCACCACTATAAGACATATTTTGGTTTCTCTATAGGGTAGAACACTGCAACAGTTAATGAGAATGAAGTTGGTTGTATGTGCCAACATGTAACACTCACTTGGCAATGCAGGTCAAGGTTCAGAACCACATCCATGCTACTGTATACCTCCACGTGTGAAACAGATATGCAAAAACACACATATGACACACAAATAAACACTTCTGGATGTATATGTAAGAAACTGTTTGTAGTGGTTACTTCTGGAGCAAAGGAAACTTTTTCATTTTAGCATGTCTTGTTTGGATTAAGAAAATCATATGGCTACAGTATATAAAAGATAAATTAATTGAATCAAAGGATGAGAGTAAAATAAGTCATGGAGGAACAAAGGACCTGCATTTGGTGTAGGTTCTTATGGCTGCACTTTGTTTTTAAATCATCAGTGGCTTTTGAGGATATTCACAACACCTGCAATTCAGGTGTGAGCCCCAAGGAGTTAAGTGGCAGGGAAGAGCTGGGCCGGTTTTCTGTTTTGTATTCGAGGGACCAAGGAATCTGATGCATATGGATGTACTTAAGGCCCATGTGTTAGAATAGGAAGCAGGACGGCTTTTCTGGAGAAGCAGTTCTTTCTGCTTTGCCAAAATGACAATGCACTTTCCATTCAAGTTTCCCATTTGGGGGGAATTCAGGACGAGGGCTGAGGCAGCTCTAGAGAAAGTGGAATGGAAGGAAGGAACAGCTGGTGGGCAGCAAGGCCTTCTTCACACAGCTCCCTTCTTCAGGGATTGTACCAGGAACCACATAGTATTTCTTTCTAGTTATCTTGCATGGAGGAGGAAATTACTCTCCCACAACCTCATTACTAAGAATTCAATTATTTCCAAGAAACTTCTTAGTCTTAGTTCTGAGAACTTCCTCATATACCCAAAAAAATCTCTGGAAAAGCAAACTGAAGGGGCAAAACACCAAAGGGAAAGCCAAGATTTATTTCTGGGTTTTGTGTTAATTTGTATTATGCTTTGATACATTCTAAGAAGCGGGTGCTTCAAGCTGCTGGGATTTCTCAGAAAGAATGGGCAATGTACACAGGCCCAACAGAGAGAAGGTCCCCGGATCCCCAGCAGCAGGGGACTTACCTGGCACCTTGTCCACAGATGCAAACACAGAGCGCTGCACTGTGGGGTCACTGCTGCCTCGGCGGCCCTGATCATAGAAGCGGAAAGGCAGGTGCTGGGTGGAAGCGGAGGTGCCAAGCCCAAATCCTAGGACTTCTGCTGTTGGCTGGATTGGGAGGTCCAGGAGTGCTATAATCAAACAACAGCCCAGTTCATTCTTAATGCGTGGCATGGGGACAGGCAGGGAAGACTTGGGGGCCGTAGCTCAACTATTCGTGACACTTGGGAGATTGCCAAGCAGGCAGCCTTGCTCTGGGGAGACCAGCAGAATGTTGAAGATCCCACTGAGGCTCAGAACATGAAACACAGGGCCGGGGATTTAGCTCAGTGGTTCCATCGCTTGCCTTGCAAGCGCAAGGACCCGAGTTCGATCCCTGGTACCACCCCCCACCCCCAAAAAAGAACATGAAACACAGCCAGGTGTCTAGCGACAGCTTCGGGCCAAGGTTGAGGCCAAGGAGTAAGGGGTTCTGGGCTTGGCTCTTCAAGCAGAATAGATGCTGGGCCAATTTATATCTTGGAATCTTGGTTCCATGTGTAGAAGACTTGCCAATGGCTTAGCTTCTAGTGGTGTTTCAGACCCCAAAGAACCAGAGGTAATTCTCCCCTGAAAGTTTACATAAGTATATATAAATGACCCTCATATCCACAGGGGATTGATTGCAGAATCTCTTTGGGACATCAAAATGGCCTGGTATTTGCATATAACCTGGGAATACTCTCCCTCACACTTCAAATCATCTTTAGAAAACTTATACTCAATATGATGTAAATGCTATGTAAACAGTCATTATACTGGATTGTTAGGGAATAATGACAAGGAAAAAAATTTGTGAGTGTTTAGTACAGACTCATTTCCCCCCTCAATATTTTCAATCCCTGCTTGGTTGAATCCACGGATGTGGAACCCAGAAATATGGCGGGCCCACTACATGTGAGAAAGAATATATACACGATAAGTGTGTGTATTTGTGAGTGTGTATCTGTCATGGCTGCTATCCTCCTTTCCATAAACAAATCTCCTGATATATTAGTTCAGAGGGGCTTTTTAAAATCAATTTAAGAAATACCCAAGGTGTTAGTTCTAACAGCCACTTTACAGCATAATTCTCCATTTCCAAATGAAATATTTGGCCTTCATGCTAGCTATGAGAAACTGCTTTACATTAAAAAAAAAAAAAAGAAAACTCTGAAAATAAATCTTAAAAGAAAGGGCTGAATGATTTAAGTCACCTTGCACATTACAAAATGCTTCTGTAATGATTTTGCAGGCCAAGTTTCAGCTAAATGAGAAATAAGATGGGAGGACTACATGGGATGCAGGCCGGTGCAAATCAACGAGGCATGCACCATAAATCACTGAATCAGAAGTGTTCACGTGGCCCTCTCAGTGCTTATTTTTAGGTTATCCATGAGAGAGTGCCCCTCCTCGCCTCATGGGCTAGCAATCCTCTCAGCAGCCACAGCAGAAGAACCCTTGGTGCTGAACTGAAGGCACAGGGTACCGTGAAAAAGGTCATTTATAGTTTTCGGACTGACAGAATGTAATGCCCCTCACACACACATACACAAAATGCCTGGACTGTAACTCTGTCCTGATAAAGAACTGGGGCCCTGGTTTCCATGCCTTAACTAGGCATGCTTCCTCAAAAATTCATCACAAACCCTGTGAAATACAAAATGAAGGGGTGGGGAAGGGGATGAAATAAAGAATTAAGACATGTTATGCACATGTACTGATTCCCCACAAGGAATGTAATCAGTATTACTGCAACCAATAAAAATAAAAATTCAAGGATTAAAAAAAAAAAAGAAATATAAAATGACTTTTAGGGCCAGGGATTTAGATCAGTGGTTCTGGCACCTGCCTTACAAGCGCAAGGTCCCAAGTTCGATCCCCGGTACCAAAAAAAAAAAATGACCTTTGAATTCAGTACTGGGTCACTGCCCTTTACTCAGCAGAGCTGACCCTCCAAGGAGCCGGAAAGGGGAGGAGGAAGGGATGCGCTTCAGAGCAAGTGCTGCATTTGGGTTCTGTTCTCTGTGCAAACTCTGGCAAGCCACTGAGCCTGCTTCCTCCTCTGCAAAATGGGCAGAGGAGGCCCTACAATCTCAGTGTTGTTTCAGAATCAAAGGTAGTAGAGGAATGTCAAGGCACTCTACAGCTGTAATTGGTACATGTACTCTGTAACATGTATGTAACTGCATATGAAATTCTCAAACTGATACGGAGTTTGAGAATTTCAGTGGGGAGGAGTAAGAACAGCTGTCCTACTCTTCCAGGTGCTTCATGTCCTCCTGCCTGCTACGGAGGGCTTTCCTTCTCTTCCATGCAGCCCTAGATACTCTCTTAGGAAGCAAGAAGTTCCCAGGGAATTCTCCGTTCCTGCACAAATTACAATGAGTCCTAAGCCACATATATCTTCTAGAGGAGCCAAGGGGCTTCTCCAGGTCAGTGTGAGAAGCATGCTGACAGCCCTGTCTGCTCCTGCCCCGAGGGCCCAGGGGACACCCTTCCCACGCCAGCCACTCACCAGCTATCCTCTGCATCTTCATGCGCCTCGCCTGGATGCGGCCCTTGGCCAGGCGCTGCTTGGCAATGATGCAGCGGATGTGGTCTGAGAAGACGAAGGTGGCCTGCAGGATGGGGAAGGGCTTGGAATGGGGGCTGGATGCGGGTTTGTGGATGGTGATGTTCAGGGCACGGCTGTCGTCCTCCACACCAGTCACCTGCATGTCCTGCACAGAGAAGAGACAAAGACACAGTGCTTGTCAGGCTTGAGAGGGGGGCAGATGCTCAGGAGCTGGGACATTTGTATTTCATGTAGAACATGGCAGGGTCAAGGAGGAGCACAAACTAGCCCAGGTCAAGTGGGAGAAGACAGGGTGGGATGCAGAGAGGCTCAAAAAGAATCAGTGCTGGTTATGGTGGCTGGTAGGCATTTTCTTGAGGACTTGCGGTGCCTAGTAAATAAAAGGGTACATCAGCTTTTTCAAGGGGCCATTGGTAACTCAATAGGTAGACTCTAACAATTCTTACTATTGAGAATCCAGAGATGATGAATGTAAATCCCTATCACCATCTGGGATATCTTAGATACGATAACTCATCTACTCGTTTCTCTTAAGAATAAGGCATTGCGGGCATCCTTTTGTGTCTTTAAGGAACTTCTGGTCCCTCAAGGAAAACACTAACCCTGAGAAAGGGACAAGGAGGGAAGACATTTTAAGAAAGCTTCCTGTGAAAGGTAGAGAAGAAACTGACATGTAGCAACTAATAACAAAACTCAGAATGGAATCTGCAGAGAGAATCTGGCTCCCACAAAGGTTCAAGGTGATTTGAGATAAAAGCACTAGATAGGAGATAGACACAAAGGTTAGAAATGCTATAAGAGGTGGGGAAAATGTTGAAGAAGGTTTAGCAAGGAGGATGGTTAGAGTTCTTAGGCATGACATGTGGCACTGGTTCTCTGGAAACAATGCCTGCATCAGAACTGGGCTATGAGGATTAGCTGAGGCATTGGGGATTCACAGCTGGGAATGTGGTACATAGTAACAACTGAAAAATAGTAGCTATTGGAAAATGACCAAAAAAAAAAAAAAAAGGTTTATGTGGCTTTTATTGTCTGATGGAAGACACCTATTAATCCTCTGAGGGAGAAAAACACTTTTCCTGACACTAAATTCTAAAGGAAATTAATTATAAGCCGAGACAAATAAGAAGTTTAGGTATAATAATGGACAATGTCTTGCATGGAAGTCTTTCTTTGAATGAAAGGTCCTCCTACTGTTGTTTCTCTCTTGTTACTATTGTTTCTCTCACTGCCCTCTGTAAAAGATATCTTTAAATAGGAAGATCCTGAAAAGGAAGAGAGTGGGGAAGAGGCTGCTTTAGTATACGTGGATGCTTCTTTAGAGGCTGCTTTCAAATACGTGGATGGTTCTCATGAATAGCAGGACAGAGACAGCAGGCCATGCTGCAACAAGACAGAGGCAGATCAGCCTGGTAATATCCAGAATCCAGAACCGCACAGCAAGGAAATGGACTGTTTCAAAGTAGGGCAAGTCCCAGGCTAGGATATCCTTGCCAAAAATTCAGGCACCTGGGGTATGGCAGACGTGTGACGTGGAAGGACTTCTCTACCCTTCTCGTTCTTTGTTTCATTCACTACCTGGTTGGAATTTGTCACACATCACTTGATAAACATTAACAAACCTCAAGCTCCAACCTAGTGTTCGGCAATTCAGAGCCTTTCTTTACTGAAGAGGGGGTGAGAAGAAAGGAATTCTAATAAATCATTAGAGAGAGTAAGTTGGCAGTATTTAACACTTAAAAGAGGTGCATCCCAATTTCTTGGTTAACTGCCTAGGGAAATCTTGCCCAAGTGTATAAAGAAGGAAGAACAATTCTGTTTGCAGCAGCACTGTCTGGAAAGATAAAAAGTTGGGAGCAATCAACAGGGCTCTGGCCAAACATGCTTGGGTACAGTCATACAGCAGTTAAAAAGAAACTAGCAGGTTGGCATGTACTGACATGGCTAGTTCTCCAAGATTTCTATTGAGTAAAAAAAACCAAAGCTTAGAATAGTGTGATACCATAAAAATGCACACACATTCTCAAACACATGTGTAGTCATCCCTTGGTATCCCAGGAGGACTATTTCAGGGTCTCCCAAGGATATCAAAATCTGCAGATGTCCAAGTCCTTCATATAAAATGGCATCGTATTTGCATAAAACCTATGCACATACTATCTTAAACTTTAAATCATTTCTAGATTACTTATAATACCTTTTATTTTATTGAAGTACAGGAGATTGAACCCAGGGAGCACTGAGCTATATCCCCAGCCCTTTTTTATTTTGATATAGGGTACACATCACTAAGTTACGCAGTCTGGCCTTGAACTCGAGATCCTTCTGCCTCAGCCCCTTGAGTAACTGGGATTATAGGTGTGCACTAACTTGCCTAGCACTTATACTGTAGAATACAACAAAAATGCAATGCAAATATTGTTTAGAGAATAGTGATAAGCAAAAAAAGGTCTACATGTTCAGTATAGACACAATTTTATTTAACAGATTTTGATCTATAGTTAGTTGACTCTGCAGATGTGGAACCTGTAGATATGGATCCTCCTACTTCAACCTTCTGAGTAGCTGCGATTACAAGCATGTGCCACCATGCCCAGCTAAAGTTAGGCTTTTTTCAGAGGCAATTTATTCATGTATTCCCTGTATTATTAGAAATGGAGGAGGAGAGGAGGGAAAGGGGATAAAAAAAGAATTAAGATGTGTTATGTGTTTGTGCCAACTCCTGTGATGAATGTAATCATTATGCATTACAAACATGTACTAACACAAATAAAAATTTAAAAAACAGGAATGGACTGCAAAGATGAGAAGTTGGTTGGTGTGTGTGTTTGTAGGGGTGACTGAGAAGAGATTCCAGAGATCTTGGCCATCTTACCTGGAGAAGCCCTGCAAACTTGACCACTCCCCAGCCAAGCCGGGACACGTCAGGCTCCACCAGACTCATCTGGTAAATATCAACAGCCAGGAATCGCTGGACCATGCTGCCATCCTTGGTGATCACTGTGCATGCGATCAGGTCACTGTTATCTGGGAAAAGGGAACAAAAGCAGGATGAGCCCAGTCTGGCTAGCTGGCTTCACGAGGATTCCATAGCTGCCTCTTGTCCTACTGGGAAACAGAGCTCAGCCATCGGTGCCTGGGCTTAGAGCCACATGGAAATGAGTCTGTATCCATTTCAGCCAGTTTTGCTGGGAAGTTTCTTTAGCTCTCTGGGCCTCAGATTCCTCGTCTGAAAAATGGGCATAATGCACAATCCCGCAAAGCACTATTTGTTAAGACCAATCTAAAGAACAGAAACTACTATGCCAATATTTACTGGATACAACGTCTTCAAACTGTAGCTTAAAAATGACTACTAGTTGGGACAAGAAATCAGAGACATTTATTGCTAAATGGTTGCACATTGAGACGATACTCTTAAGTGAAATAAACAGGACACACATGTGTAAATACCGAATAGTTTCTCTAGTGTGAGAAACTGAAAGTGTAAATAAGGACTAAAAGGTATAATAGATAATGTGAAATAGGAAGAAAAGGGGCAAAGGGGAGGGGGAAGTGGGAGGGGTAGGGGAAAGGAAAGAGGGGAATGGAATCAATATGAGAAAATGAAAAAATGGAAACAAAGTCTTTGTAAAGAGGGAGGGATGGAGGGGCTGAAGGGAAGGTAGGGGAAGGGGGAAAAATAAGAACCAAGAGAGTATGTAAAGGTGCACATCTCCAATGATGAATGTCATTATGTTGTACACCTAAAATGTACTGATAAAAGGATATACAAAAAAAATGACTATTAGTTGGGGCTGGGAATATAGCTTAGTAATAGAGTGTTTGCCTAGCATGTACAGAGCTCTGGGTTTAGTTCCCAGTAGATAAATGACAACAAACCAACAGCCAGGAATCCCAGGAATATTTCAGTTCACATGGACCAATGGCAGTTTGCAGTCGTGATGGTGTTCACCTAAATAAGTAATTAAGTGATGGCAGAAACTCTCTGTAACAGCATTACTGACTCCCCACTTTTGTGTCTGACAGTTCAGAGCCAAGCCCCGAACCACATGGTGTATGATCCTGGGTCAGGTACTTGGCCCCTCTGAATTCCGATTTTCCTTCTGTGAAACGGGAAGAATGTCCCGTCTTGCAACATTTGGTGCAGTAAATGAAAACAGATAGGATAAGCATTTACCATGGAATCTTGGGCATAGAAGGCCCTCAGCATATGTTAGGTCCCTCCTCTTACTTGAAAGTTAACTCTGAATTTGATGGCTCATTGAGCACCTGTTCTTGATCACTTTGAAGTCACTTGGGTAACAAAGGATCATCAAATCTATAGTCTACTTTGAGCTCTCTCCAATGCAATTGTCTATCACATATGCTTCAAACACCCAAAAATGTTTAGACATGTATGTTTAAACACTCAAAATGTTCCCAAATAGGGGAACAAATTGAGTATGATTTTTCCCATTACATGAAAAATTATTACCCATGTAAAAAATTCTGTTTAACAAACTGTTAACAGGGGTTATCTGTGGGGAGGGGAGTAAGAATTGAGGGTGGAAATATAATGTGTATGTGGGAAGTTTTAATGGAAAAACTTTCATTTTTGTTTCATGTACCGTTTTGCTGCTTTGAGCTATTTTAAGGTAAGAAAGTATTCCAGATATACTTTTGAAATACATATAAAAAACTCCAACTTAAAAATCACATTTACATGGGGCTGGGGGCTAGGGGTGTAGTTCCATGAGTGCTAGCTTAGCGTGCATAAGGCCCTAAGGCTTGATCTCCAATATTGCAAACCAAAAGAAAACATATTTACAAATAAGTATAATGACAATGGAAAATGCTATAATTTTAAATGGAAAAAGATAAAAATTTTAATACCATGAGTTTGATATGTTTAAAAAAAGTGTTTGCCTACTATGTGTAAGGCCCTGGGTTCAAACCCCAATAACACCCCCCATCCCACCACAAAAAGCCCTGTAAAGAAATACAAGTACAGAGCAATGTGCCAAAACATTAACAAAAGTCTTTGTTGAGAAGGATGGGTAGGTGGTGTGTTTTTTTCCCCTTAATAGCTCTATTGAGGTACAATTTATAGACCAAAAAGTTCACTCAAAGTATGTTGTGCATTGTGCAAGTTTTGGTAAATTTTCACTCTTGCATTAGGATATTAGGTTGTGGAACACATCCATCACCTGAATGAGATCTGTTTGGAGCACTTTAACCAAACATGTGGCTTAAATTTATTGAAAGAAGAGGAAGGTAACACAGATGGTATAAACTCTAGCCTTGAACACACATAGCAAACTTGGCCTCAGGTATTTGTGAAGCCCCAGCCTCTTTCTACTTCATCTGACCCAAAGGTGAGAGGAGAATGTCCCCCTTTGTGCTCTCTCGCACAGCTCAGTTCAGTCCCCCGAGCTATAACCTGCCTGGGATTCTGGCTTTGTGTGGGTGTTTCCAGTTCACCCTCCTGGATCCTACAAGCCTCATGTTTCTATCTCTTCTCTCTAGCACATGACACCTTGCCAGATACCCAGAGGTAAACGCTGGTGGCAAATCAGCCTGTGTGGACTTGTATTTTTTTAATATCAATGGACAGGATCATTTTTCCATTACCAACAGTCCAGTTTAGGATGCTAAAAACTTTAAAGTATTTTATCCTGAATTTTTAGTCCTCACTGGATGGCTTTCTCTGGGATATCTAGTCTTCTGTATTATCAAAAATGAAAGCCAGGGCTGGGGATTTATCTCAGTGGTGTCGCCACCTGCCTCACAAGCGCAAGGTCCTGAGTTCAATCCCTGGTACCAAAAAAAAAAAAAAAAAGAAAACCATCTTATTCATTCTAAGAAACCTTTTCATTGTGGTAGGTATGGTTTATAGTCTTTACTCAGGAAACATTTTCTCAATGAGAATCTTGTCCTTTTAAAAAATAGAACAAAAACAATAGCCACTTTTCCCTTCCCCACTCTCCTTTTATTCCTCCTCCCTTTCCTCTCCTCTTTCCCTTTTCCTCACTCCAGCAATAGGCCAGCTTGGCTGCCCCCTGGCCTTGTATTTGCAAAAGAACTCATCTGGGGTCAGAATGGGAAAGCAGATACAGTCACACATGTTGGCGACAGTGGGGTTTGTCAGAGACAGGGAGGTTTGTTGGAGACAGTGGGGTTTGTTGGTAAAAGTGGGGTTTTGTTGGCAGATAACCTAACTCCCTCACAAAGCTGAGTTGGCTTAAGAGACTTCAGGGGAAAAAAGCCCTACCACTTCCACCACAAAGAATAAAAAAGGAAGGACAAAACCCCAAAGCGGAACAGCTTTCAGAAATGTCATTGAGACATCAAAGCCCTGTGAGAACTCAGTGAGACTTCATAAGAAAACTAAGACATAGCGTACCCATGAGCAGGAAGGCGCCCAGGGAGGGACCTCTGCTCTTTGTGAGCTGTGGGGGCAGTTCAGGAGAAACAAAGCGGCATCCACCGACTACACAAGAATGCCATCCTTCAGGGAAACTGAGGAAATGCTGGTTTTGGATGACTTGCTTGTGGGTGTCTCAGCTATCACCATGCGGGCTGTGGACATTCCTGTCTGGAGCCCTGGGGACAGGCTGATCATGTTTGGGTGGCCATGGTGTCCTGGATGTGTGTGTGTGGGGGCCCCAGAACAGAGCTGCTGAGTGGAACCCGATTATGCACACCCTCTAAGGCCTACGTCTGCAGCCATCACATGTGCATGTGTGGATTTTGCTTGGAATCAGAGGAAGCCATGCAGCACACTAAGGTCCCTGAGGGACATGGGCATATGGGAGGGACTCAGCAGCAGGTAGCTCTGTCAGGTGTGTGGCAGCCTCAGGAGCCTCCTTGCTTGACTCTCAGGAGTGGTCCACAGCCAGGAGAGGCCAGTGCAGGTGACAGGTGGTACAAGGCGTCCTGGCCATCCATCTATGCTATTTTCTAGATCTCAGTGCCCTGAATCTCCTAGCTCTCCCCTAACAACTTTACTTCTAGGGGTAGAGCCTAGGACTCTACCAAAAATATTGCATAAAATTATCAGAAGACAATATAGAATAACAATACATGATCTAAGTAGCAAAATATGAATAAAGGAGTGAATGTAAAAGATTTACAGAGGGGATGAGAACAGCCAATAAACACACAAAGAAAGGCACCCAGCCTCATGAGAAATCAGGAACCAAATCAAAACAAGATACCATCTTCCACCCACAGAGCTGGCAGAAGTAAAAATGTTTGATAACATCAGGTGTTACTGAGGATGCAGAGAAACTGCCATTCTCAAAAGCTGCTGGTGGAGAATAAATTAACATAGCCATTTTGAAGGGCAAATTAGCATTATTTATTAAAACTGAAAGTTTCACATCCTATGACCTGGCAATTGGTATGTTCCCGAGAAAAATGCTCAGATGTGTGGGCCAAGCAATATATGCACAGGGATGCTGACAGCAGCTTTTGGGTCTGTAAGGACTCAAATGTTTAGCAAACAGGGAAATCCTAAGAAAATGTGTTCATAATAGATGCCAAACTGTGTGGCCATGACAAGGAATGAATTAGCTCTCCAGATAGTTCAACAAGGCTAAGTCTCAAGAACATACTGCTGATGGGGCTGGGGATTTAGCTCAGTGGTTCCACCACCTGCTTCACAAGTGCAAGGTCCTGAGTTCAATCCCTAGTATCAAAAATTAAAAAAAAAAATCAAAATCTGATCACAAGAACATACTGAGTGGAAAAGCAAGCTACAAGGGGAATTTTAGTTTACATGCAGGGCTTTGAATTTCCAAAGGGAAAACAGGTACATTGTTTGCATGCTTAACAAGTAATAAAGAAAAAAGTGAGGCCGGGGATTTAGCTCAGTGGTTTCGCTGCCTGCTGCCCAAGTGCAAGGACCCGAGTTCGATCCCTGGTACAAAAAAAAAAAAAAAAAAAAGTGAGTCTTTCTACATCCTGGCAAAAAGAGTCTTAGTTCTTTCTGGGGCTCAGCTGGGAAGGGGAACAGGCTTGGGGCAAGCTGCTTGCCACGAATG